TTTGCCTACAAATTAGCTTAAGGATCAAAGCAGTCGTATCAAGTAAGCATAGTTACGGTGACTACGCTAATAAAAATTCGTAGTCTGCCAAACTACATAGAAGTTATCAAACCCTAAATTGCAAAACATTCTTTGTCCAGCACTTGTTGGCAAATCGAAGCGCAAGGTTGCACAAATGAATCGTTCTGTAGTCCTCCGTCATTGATTGGCAAGAGAAAACAGTGACGTGCTTCTCAAACATAGATTGAAGATATTTGTGACCTAAAGTTTTATGCTCCAACAATGAGATAAACTTGAATTTTCAGAGTCCACTCTAGAGATGGTCCAGTTACTTCTATGCCTTTTTATGCGACAAGCCCAAATCAATGGACACACAATAAACACATAGGAAATAGCTCGATAATGTAGATCCGTGGAGAATCATCTCTATAAGTTTTCTTTGACGGTTTGTTTTTTAACCCACTTAAGTTGAACTTAAGCCTTAACTTGAATTATGTTAGAATGCTAGATTGATTTTGGGTTGACCATTTTACCAATCAGTCTTAACTTGCTCGACTTGCATCTTGACACCTGCATAACATGTGGCGGTTGTGGGGTTTCATTAGAAAAAAAAAACCTCAATTTATTTGGAAGTGGAACTATGATCAATATAAGTCATATTTAATTTTATCAATTCTTCATTGTAGGATTCTTATGTTCTCTAACATGTCCCTTCACACGTAACCATTAAATAATGAGCCACATGTGCAACCAATACTACTATCCACCCCAATACTTTCTTGGTTTCCTGAACTTTTTGTTGAGAATGAATCCCACATTTATGAGATGAGGGACCTTACATGAGCTTATAAGTAAGTTGGGCTACTCTTCATATTGTTAATTGGTTTTATGGTGGAATATCAACTTTCTTCATGGTATTAGAGCAGGTTGTCCCACGTGAAGCTAAATAGCCACATGCGCTCCATGTCATCCTATTGTGTTGTCCACATGTTAGGCTTAAAAATTCGCCACACGTGAGGGAATGTGTTGAGAATCTCAAATTGATGAGAGGAGGAACTTTGCATGGGCTTATAAGTAAGTTGAGTTAGTAGAACCTCAACTTTCTTCACATCCATCTTACCACATGCACAACATGACAGGTGTCGGAATTCCAATTGTAATTTTGAAAAGTCACGAGCACCATTCACATGGGAAGTTTCAGTCTTTTCATCAAACTTAGATTGCGATTCAAGCTGTTAGTCACCATATTTGTAAGTAGAAGAAACGGGTCTGGTCAATGTCTTCTAGCTTCATAAAGTCTACAACTATTAATTGTTTGAGAATTGTTGCAATGAGACAAGCATCCGATGGAAAATGAACACTGCAATGAGTCCACTTCAATTGAGACTTTTGCTGCAATCTCAAACTGGGATAACTCCAATTGAGATAGACGGGAGCATTGATAAGTGTCGAAAGATGAGTGGCTGGGATATAAACAGAGGTTAATGGTCCAACTCAGCTGATCAGTTTAGAGGTAGTTAGTGTTTGTTAGTCTGTTAAGTATGTGTCTTGAGAGCAAAGCAAGGTGATTAGTTGTCCTATAAATTGCTAGCTCTCTCTGTGTTGTACATTAGTCAATTCATTCATACAATTACACAACAACTATTATTCCTTTTCTCTTTTATTTTCTCTACATTTCTCGAATATTTCAATGTAGTTAATCATATTCAAGTTTATCGGAGTAGAAAAAATTTCAAGACATTTAATGTTAGTGAAAATTATTGGTGGCTAATGAAGAAGAAACTAAAGCTTCAGGGGTATGTCAAGAATGTCGTTGTCTTAAGAAAACAATTTCCCCCACCAGGGCCTTGTATGCACAATTGGTCTATACGTACGATCAAATGAAGCTCCATTTCCAAGGTGCTTGCTGACATTGAGTCATCCTAGACGTAATCCCACTAGACATGAACTATCAGTTACAGAGATCGTTTGCACTCTATATATTGGTGTAAACTGTCTTCTTATTTCAACCCTTGGTCTTGGTTTTATATGGATAAAAGCAGACATGACTATCCCTTTTCAAAATCCACTCACAGAAAAAGAATTAAATCCCTTATTATATAGATAAAACCCCGCTAATCAAACTTCTCACTGTAACTGTTTTTTCTTGGTCGAACAACCTTCAAATCTATAACGATGATTGTTCACTGGATAAGAAGAAGAAAAAAAATTTCAAATTTCTTCAAAACTCTCCAATCCACTATTTGTCATATGGAGCTCAAAGCTTATTATGGAGTAAATCAGTTTTGAAAATCATGTCGTTAGTCTCATTACTGCTGGTTAAACTTATCTTTTTGTTGAAATTCTTCGTCTGAATTGCATCCCTTTAAGCTTTGTTGATTGGTGCAGTAAGAGTGTGGGACACAACTGATGAACCCTCTTTTGTCTTCATAAATTAGATCCCTTTCGCCATCATTGTCCTCTGGGCGCACTTTATATTAAAGATGTGTAACATAAGTTGAGAATCATAGTTTTTTTTTTATTCTGGTCTGATTTGATACTTTGTGTTTACACTAAAAACCAGAAACCCATTTCCACTCTTTTGACTCTCTTTTGCACTAAACGTATACATGGAGATCATTCATTGATCAACCTTTCGTCGATCTATTCTCCAATTATTTCAGAGACTTTTGTACGACAATATCATTAAGGGGGTATTGGTGTTACAAATTCACAGTTATAATAAATGTCAAGTTATCAATATAGGAGCATTAGTTAAACCCTCGTGTTGCATACTTCCTTTTTTTGCAAATGATGGATTGTTTCGGTGGTTAGAATGTTGAATTTCAACTCACTTCATTTGAAGTTAAACTTCCCTCTACTCTTACGTAGTTTAGATTAAAAATATTCTTTTATCCAAAAGTAAACCCTAGCTAAACGTTTAAACTCATCTCTTGTAGTAACTGTACTTGTTATGGTTTGGGCTTAACACCATATGGTATTACCTTCCCACAATAATGTTTGCAATCATTGATCAATACCTCCACTGCTAAATTATTGTATACTGATTGCACTAAAACTTCCTCACATCACTTTCAGAGATTCCCCTCTTTTCGATGCAAATGACGGAACCATTTTTTCTCCAAGTCCAAACTTTAGGCTCGGCAGTGTGTCACAATGCGACGATGGGACAACACTGAGGCTTGCTAATTGTCACCGACAATTGCAAAAGTTTGAAAGACATGTCCTTGAAGCTGAAATATAATTATATAACAGAAGGTAGATTCTCTGCCCTCCTATTTATCGTGCTCTTTCGTGCCTTTCTGTTTTGTGTGATCATGGTTATTTTTTTTTTATAGAGATAATAAGACAAAAATGAATAGTAATATAAAATGTTGACGTGACTTAACCATGACCACATAAATAAAAGGGCATGGAAGAGCACGAAAAGTAGAAGGACAAAGAATCTCCATCTTATATAACAAAATCCTGCAAATGTGAAAGATGAAACTCAACAAGGCAAACCACTGAAAAAGAGCAACTGGGTAAAGGACATGAAACCACATATTTTTTTTGAACAAAATCTCAGCATGTAATGCAGACACCGAGCCAAGATTTGTTGTTGTCTTTGCTGTAGTCAAAGCCCGTTTTGGTTTCATATGTGAGAATTCAGCAGAGGTGGGAAAGGAACCTTGGGTGTTTTCTGTAATGGAGCCCACGGCCATCCCATGCAATGCAATTATACATCATTGTGGAAAACCCTTTATATTTTGGACTTAGATTGTCTACCCTCCCTATACCATACTCTTCTTATCCCTTCTTATATTTTGTGATCACGGTTAAGCCACGTTAATATTTTATATTTCTATTGCCTTTTGTTTTATTATTTCTATAAAAAAAATCAATATAAAATGTTAATGCGGCTTAACCGCAACCATAAAAATAAGAGGGCATGGAAAGGGTATGAGATGAGGAGGGCAGACAATCCAAGTCCTTATATTTTATGTGTTCTCTGTAAATTCATGACTATATATATATATATATATATATATATATATTAGTTCTAAGAGCTAATTAATTATTATCTTAATACCGCGCTAATTACTTGTTTGAGTTTACTTACAATATAATCCTATAATCAAAACCATTAAAAAATTTCAAATATCAGTATCAGGTCATCTTAGCAAAATTTCATTTGAAACGAAAATCATTTAACTTTTAATTATTATTGTAAACATTTTATTATTATTTATCAACAATTCTGACTTGGTCTATTTGTCATGTCACAATTAAATAACTACACGGCTTTTGGTTCAATGAATTTTTGCTAGGATAATTTTTCAATAAACCTAAAAAATGATATGTTTAGATTATGAGAAAATATTGTTCTTGAGTCCAAAAGAATGGTTAGTTTCATATTAAAATACTAACTGGTTAGCTCGCTCTTGCTACACACACACACACACACACACACACATATATGTACAAGTAATGCTAGGAAGACAATATATTTATATCACATTGGTGTACCATCTAATGTGGCAAGTAATACATACAACCAATATAGAATGAGATAAATTCATTAATTAACATGACATATAAACATCACTTACCACATTAATGTGATACAAAAATATAATCTCCCTAATATTTCTAGTACACACACACATACAAGTTAGTGCTAGAGATTACTATATTCTTGTGCACGGCCTCTAGGATATACATTGAAGGCGACCTGATAATAATTGAAGATAAAAGCAAAATATAACGTGTATTTAAGTAATGAAACGTGGATTATCGTTAGTTAACTAGGAGATTACCTATGTTTTTTTTTATTTTTTGGTCGTGAGATCACCTTTGTTTGATTGATACAAACTCACATGGATTGAATGTTGCAACAATTTTTTTTTTTTTTTTTCCTGTCAAAGGTAGGTAATTATCATTAAACGAAGTCTAAACGAACATCTTACATGGTTCAGAAGGAATCGACATACAGAAAGAAGACGCTATTTATGCAAACATTGAAGGAGTAATGGTTCTTCATTGCAACAATTACAAAATAGTACATAAATGAAAAAACATAAATGCGTTTTAACATAAGAAGATTAGTCATCGACCTAAAGGTGGCTAGTAAAGAAAACCCTAAAAGCCCAAGTGCTAGATGACCTGCTGCAGCTACCCGAAAACCAGAAATGGCCGACAACTCACACCACCAATTTTGCACCACAAAATAACATTTGTTGATCTTCCATCCTTCCAGACAAAGACCTTCAATAGCCCCAAATACCCTATAAAAAATTTAAAAAAAAATTGAAATTTGTCACCAATTAATATACAAACAGAAAGAAGTAGCCAAACTGCACAATTATATCCACCGTACGGGGACCAGCAAGAACATAGTTCCAATGCCGGCAAATTAAGACATGAATTCATAACCATAGAAGGAGGCGAGGCAACGCTCCGCATTGAAACCAAGGTCTTTGTTTTGCACACCTTCACCTGCATGAGCGACGATTCACTCTTGAGGTGGGCATCGGACACAGGAGCACAATCGTACTCCTCAATTGAAAGTGGGCAAATTGATAGCAAAAGATAGTCTCGAGGGTTGGATATGTAGTATGGATTAAGGATTTGAGGTTTATTTGGGGCTAATGAAAATCCATTACATAATGGGGAGAAATTAAAGGATAACCAAAATATGGCAAATCAAGTTTTTGAATTGAAAATTTTCTTAAGCCCACAAAGGCTGACACTCAGAGATTGGAACACACCACTATCTGAGAATAGATGGGGCAATCATTGGGGAGATGGGGCAGGCCACCATCATTAGGGAGATGAGGCAAGCTACCATCTTGACCAAATTGTATTGAAATACAACAAGCAAAGAGGGAAAATAAAAGGGGGAGAGAATGAAAAATAAAAGGAAGAGAAAATGGGAAAGGGAAGGGAAAAATGGGAGAGAAGTGGTGGATAAGGAGAAAGATGTGGGAGAATGAGGGAGAGGAGTAGCTGGAAATAAAGTGAAATGAGGGAGGAAACGTAGGGAAGGTGGGTGAATAGAAAAGATTCAGAGGGTGAAAATGGAAGGGGAAGAAAAGGGAGGACTAGAAGACGATGGGAGGGGCTGCCGCCGACCTCAAACCAGAGCAAGGGGTGGCGGCTAGGAGGTTTCAGATTTTGGGTTTTTTGGGTGAGAAAAGACGCGGGGCTCTAGGTAGGGTTACAACAATTGGGTGAAGTACTATTCGCCAGTTTGTTGCTCGTCATCGTGCACAAAAGAGTAGTCAAGTTAGAAGTGGTATTAGAATGTGATATAAATTAACTTCGACTTTCTATGGTTCATCGGCCATATGAAACATTGATATTTAAGTGCTTGGTAATCGATTTTTTACTTATTTTTATTAGAAATGATATTCTACACTAATCTGTATTAAAAGGGATATGAAATGATTCGAACACAAAACGTAATGAGTTGAAGATTATTACTCTAACTACCAGAATAATCCACTTACCTTGTACTTGATTTCTCTCATTTCTAAAATTTAACAATTTTGTTTACACATTAGCAATGCGCACACAACAAAATATGCATCATAATTTTCTTGTAAACCCTAGTTTTCTAAAGCATATCATAAAGACAACTAAGGTTCCACCATAAAAGTAATTGGCAATATGGAAAGTAGCCCAACTTACTTATAGCCTAGGCAATGTCTTTTCTTCCATAAACATGGGATTCATTTTCAACACGTCCCCTCATATGTGGTGAATTTTCAAGCTAAACACGTAGACAACACAAACGACATGATGTGGAGCACGTTTAGCTGTCAGACAGCCTGCTATGATACCATGAAGAATATTGAGGTTGAATCATAAAACCAATTGGCAACATGAGCAGTAGCCCAATTTACTTATACATTCACACAAGGTCCCTTTTCTCATCAAGGTGAGATTTATTTTATCATTCACACCATATACATTTTTAGCTAACCATTCATTCCTCTAATATACTAGCATGAGTTCACTTATGAATTTCTAAAGCTTGTTCTCAATCAATAGATTAAAAAAAAAAATGTATATATGTAGTCCAACCCAATGCTTAGTTTACTTATACCGAGAGAATTACGACTTCATTTTGGGTTGATAAACTTATTCTCTGAACTACTCACCCTCCCCAAAAAACCTAAATTTGAAGCTTATCAGTCATTGGCCCTTTGCTTTGGCTTGGGGCCAGTGGTAGCCCATTTCCTAGTTCTTCTTCCTCCTGATTCTGTCCCTTCCCACTCATGCACAACGCCTTTCCATTACTTACCCCATCTGCACCTTACCTCTATTCCTCCTCCGTTTTCCAAGGTTGTACTTCATCATTCTTTAATCGTAACCTGCGTCTCCCCTTTTCCATTCTCTTCCCCACTAGTTTGCAAACAACCCTTCGAAATTCAACGAAGTAATTTTCTCAAATACGAGCTATGCCTTATGATTAGATTGCTTTTGTAGGTAAGATTTGCGGTGGTGGTGGATTGGATCCATGTCAAGCCCCGACTTGCGAATAAAGACTATTCACGAGTTAGGGTGTGAGCCATATCTTGGCCATAGAAATAAATTCTACAACCAAGATATGGTGGAAAAATTAAATTAAATTATTAAAATTTATTGAATACGCAATGGAAATAGAATAGTACATAAATTAATTCATAACAAAAGTACCAACTAAATTGAAATGAGTAGCTCTTGCAAATACATAAAATGTATACAATGAGATGCATGAATGTACTCACTCCCTTCTAATCCTGTCAACATATACCTAAGGCACCTAAGTCTGCATGTCCCATACCATGCTTATACCACTTGGCTCCGAATACCTTAGAATATGAGTTAACTCCCGTTCATCCCTTAACCCCAATTTTTGTAATTAAACTCTCAGTTTTCACATTATTATACATGCACTTCCCCCGACACCCAATTGTATGTTCAAGCCCTTCCCCCGACACCTAACATATACAAGATTTCATTATTTTATAATCAACCAATTTGTATACTTAAGCCTTGCACCCTATGCTAGACATATACAAGGTTCATTATTTTATATTCAAGGCAAACGTCAGCCCTTGTATATTGTAACATCCCACATCGCCTAGGGGAGTGATCCTTATATGTATATTCCCATCCTTACCTAGCACGAGGCCTTTTGGGAGCTCACTGGCTTCGGGTTCCATGGGAACTCCGAAGTTAAGCGAGTAGCGCACGAGAGCATTCCCAGGATAGGTGACCCATCGGGAAGTTCTCATGTGAGTTCCCAGAAACAAAACCGTGAGGGTGTGGTCGGGGCCCAAAGCGGACAATATCGTGCTACAGTGATGGAGCGGGCCCGAGAAGTGATCCACCCCGGGCCGGGATGTGACATATATCCTCACAACTTAAACACAACTTAACTCTTTTTCTTACTTTGCAATGCATATGCATATGTACTGCAATAGTGCACATACAAATTAATAATCACTTACTCACAATATATAAATATGAGCATAAATTAAACTAACTAGTAAACAATGTAATAATATTTGATGCCATCATTTAAAATATTGATCATTTACCACTCTATAGAATTACCATCATCTTGTTCACCTTCGTCTTGCTAGTACCTGTTATTATTTAGACAAGAATTAGACTTCCATGTTAGTGAAGAAAATTGAAAGTGAAATAAATTTCTCAGAAGCAACAAGGCATGAAACTATACTTCTAGCTTTCCCCTTCCAACCTCATCTTTTATTTTTATTTCAACCCACAACTTCTACTTCTTCTTGTTTCATTTCTTCTATTTTCTCACCCACAAACTTGATCACCCGACTCTCCTCTTCCTCCCACACAACACTTTACCCTTTAATGTCTTTTTATCATCTTTTTGCTTCTCATTTTTATTCCCTAAAAAACCACTGCTTAATCCTTTTCTTCCCAATTTCTATCTCTTTTCTTTTCTACAAATCAACCCCCCCTCCTCCTCTTTTTCTAAATTTTGGTTTGGAATTTGAAATGAAGAATTGTCTTTGAGATTAGGATGAAAGCTTGAAAATACACAAAGATTTAAGTGGTTTGCCAAATCGAGCCACTGGGGTTTGCTTTCATTGTATTTCACTATATATGAGAAACTTACAAATACAATGAAAGATGGCTTAAAGCCTTTACATACTGTAAAGTAAATGGAAAAATGAGAAAAGTGATTTGGGAAGGAGATGAGGTTTTTATTCTTGTTTCCCCGTGTGTTGTTCTCCCCTCGTTTCTCTCCTCCCTTTGCTTTTATGGATGAAGAAATGGAATCCACAATTAAGCCTTCAATGACATGTCTCAAATCCTTTTGCTACACTTGGACATCTTGTAATATGGAAGCAATCATGTTATAATCATTATCATGCATGTGGACAAATACTCAAAAGCCACATTCATCTCTAAGGGATATGAATCCCACCTGTTCTCACCTCATTGGAAGATTTGGAACAACATTGAATAGAGAATATTGTAACCAAATGATTAAGATTCCTCTTAGCCTTGTGAATCAACACTCTAAAACCACATAATATTGCCAACTCATGCACTTAAACACATGTACCTAGTCTATGGCCTTAAATAGACTCACACCTCTCCAATGTTTACGGGTGAATAACCTCACTACATTAACTCAGCTTGCCAACTCACTCAAACTCAACACTTAGCCATACGTATAAGCTATAGACTTCCCACCTCCACACCCCTAATTATTATCTTCTATTAATTACCAACTTCCACCTCACCCTTTGGAGAAAGATCAAGCCAAACTCATATAATCTTAACTTAATCTTAGCTCTCCAATTCAAGTGAAAGACCTCTCTAATTAAATATGAAATAATATATACTAGCCAGTGTTGAAATAATTTTGTAGCAAAATAGTCTTACATTGAGACTAGTTTATATACCAAAAATACGAGTACTTGTACAAAAATATGAGTCCTTGTATAAACATAGTGCAATCAAGAATTCAAAAAAAAATATTGCGATTTGAGGTAAAAAGAGTTACACACACACACACACACAGACATATATATATATATATATATATATATATATATATATATATAACCATTTTTTTCTTAACAGGGTATTACAATCCACCTCCAATGATCCATCTTCCATGGTGTTTAAGTGCTCATCAGCCAACCCGTGGTTGTCCCGCCTTACCTAGACAAACTTGTGGTGGACCCTTTGTGGACGTTGTGAATCTTTCTTTTAACAGTGTTATCCTCGTGATGGAGACGAGTTGATTGGTAGTCCTTTCTTGGTTAGACAATTTTTTTAGTTTTAGCTTTTAGTTTTAGTTTTACCTCTGGTAAGTTGTTGTGACCTTGCTGTTACATCTGTGTTGACGTGGCATCATTGTGGTATCATGACTTTTCAAGCCTGGAGTAAGACGGATTAGAACATGAATATCTCAGAAGTCCAGTCATGGACTCAACAGTTCTGGACTTATCAAGCTGCATAAACGGATAAATGATGCCACCATCATTTTATGTTTCGAAAAAATAAGGGAAGTTCACCGACTGTTGAAAATGTGCTCTAAACTCAATCATAAGATGATACTATGTACATTTCACATGTTAAATTAAACTAGTTTAATGTAAGGGCAATGATATTGTTTAAAGCATTCTCATTAAATGTTATACACTTAAGCGATAAGTCCAAGGAATATGTAATTAGGAGAATGTTATCCAAAAGTTAGATTTATGAGACCATTCTCTTTTGTACACATATTCTAAGCGTTCATGATCATGGAATTGCTAATTAGGCATTGACGTTTCTATAAATCAGTACATGCTATGTCTTCTCCCCAGGAGAGTGACTGGTCTCTCATTGGTGTGAATGACACCAAGACAAGTATGTAGGTGCTCAATAGAGCATGAGTCCATTGAGCACGTTCAACAAGGAGTTCTTATACTTATGTCATATGAGAACTCATAGTTGGGATAATGTAGAGTAACCCTTTGACTTGAGACATCATAGTTGTCATGTGGTTAGGTCCTTAATCTTTGACTGTGTTAAAGGTATTCCATTAGAAAGTGTCCATGGCATAGTTAGGGCTAAGCTACTTAATCATGGGGATATGTGAATGTGCAACAAAAGGATCTACCTTCAAACCGTTGAGGGAAAATACCCTATGATATAATTATGAATTGCTAGCCAGAGAAGTCGTTCCAAATCATATTCAAGGTAATCATACAAGTTAGAGAATCATATTGGGTAGTAGATATGAATAAACTATCAAACCAAACAATGTGATCAAGAGTATTGAATTAAAGAAAGACTGTATTGCATTGTAATCCTAAACTGAATAGGTTCTTTAACCTCTTTTGATTAGTGTGGGTAGCCATGACAAGCTGCTAAGTACCACTCATAGTTTGTGAAAGCCTAAAGATGTATAATCACTAAAAGGAAAATTGAAAGTAATTTTCAATTCATAATCGATTAGTAAAAGTTATAATCGCTCACTAACTCGCCAAAAGGAACCTAATGGATCACACACTATGTAAGGTAATGATTGCAGGATATAATGAAGACATGAAAGGACAATTTAATTGTATATGGCAATGATTAATTAATCTGTTAACTAATCATACGAAAGGTTTGAAGGAAGATTTGTGAAAAACATGTTCATTTAAGCAACATCAATAGCATGCAATTAACAATTAAAGGCGGAATCATGCTTGTATGCACTTAAAACAAAACATTTACCCATGAAATTCAAAGCCTAGTAGATAGGTGAACCAAGACTCAACTCAAAACAAAGTGAGTTGAGAAATCAATACCTTTGTAGATTCCTCTTTGCATAAGCAAAGGCTAATCACCCAAAGAGAGGGCCTTCATTCCTTGCATCTTGGATCCATGGATTTGGATGGATGAAAAGGTTTCTCCAAGTTCCCAAAATTGAGAACCTCTAAGTCTCCACACCAAGGTATATTGTAGAAGAAATGAGTGACCTAGAGGAAGTAAGATTGCTAGCTATTCCCCTCTAGATTGGCCAAAATTTTTGAGAGAAAGGAGAGCTTGTGTTCTCATCCTTTCCCCAAAAAATAACCCTTAGTAAATTTTAGGCTATAAAGTCCTTTATATAGTCCCTTCAAATAAGTGACATAATGGACCAAAAGCCCTATTCTTTTACACATGGCTAGCCTATAGGTTTATTGGGCTTTCAAGCCCTTTGTTTTATTCAAGTTGTCATACAACTTGAGTTAATGGGCTTGACATTCAAATCCCATTGGGCCTTGCGGCCC